AAGGGATACAAAGGATCCGAAACTGGTTTTCCAAAACAAGAGTAAACATTTTGTTCCGATTGGAAAACCATCAAACTTAAACCATAGCCATTTCCAGGGACTGAAATTGAGGATATTACAATTTACCTGCGGCTTCCCAGGCCCAAAAATCGGGATGTGACATATAGTCTCTTTCGATGATCACTTTGTTTCTCTTTCACCATCGCTCTCTCTCTCTCAAGAAAAATGGATCATTTTTAGTTCGTTTCTTTTTCGGCAGCCGATATTATGCATTAGTCGATCATGGGAGGGAGAACATCATGGGGTAGTTTTCGGACAAGTCTATAGTCTCTTTCGATGATCACGTTGTCTCTTTTTCTCCCTCGCTCACTTTCTCAAGACAAATGGATCTTCTTCAATTCGTTTCCTTTTTTCGGCAGCCAATATTACGCCTTATTCGATCATAGCATGGAAAATATCATGAGGTATTTTTCCGACGAATCTATAGTTTATTTCGATTATCATATAGTTTCTCTTTCTCCCTTGCTCTCTCTCAAGAAAAATGGATCATCTTTAGTTCGTTTCTTTTTTGGCGGCCAATATTACACATTAGTCTATCACAGTAGGGAGAACATCATCGGGTATTTTTCAGACGAGTCTATAGTCTCTTTCGATGATCACGTTGTCTCTTTTTCTCCTTCGCTCACTTTCTCAAGACAAATGGATCCTCTTCAATTCGTTTCCTTTTTAAGCGGCCAATATTACGCCTTATTCGATCATTACATGGAAACTATCATGAGGTATTTTTCTGACGAATCTACAGTCTATTTCAATTATCGTGTCGTTTCTCTTTCTCCCTCACTCTCTCTCAAGAAAAATGGATCATCTTTTGTTCGTTTCTTTTTTTGGCGGCCGATATTTCTATAGTCTCTTTCGGTGATGGCATTGTCTCTCTTTCTCCCTCGCTCTCTCTCACGACAAATGGATCGTCTTCAGTTCGTTTCCTTTTTCAACGACCAATATTACACATTATTCTATCAGAGCAGGGAGAACATCATGGGGTATTTTTCGGAGAATTCTATAGTCTCTTTTGATGATCACGTTGTCTCTCTTTCTCCTTTACTCTCTCTCAAGACAAATGGAACCTATTCAGTTAGTTTCCTTTTTCAGCGGCTGATATTACGCCTTATCTAATCATAGCAGGGAGTACATCATGAAGTATTTTTCGGATTGGTCTATAGTCTCTTTCGATAATCCCGTTGTCCTCAGGAGAGGGGATTGCCACTTTGTACAATGCAGTGGGTCCATGCATCCACACTGTGTTTGCAATCACCATTACGGACGTGGCCCCATCACCCCACATACTATGGTGACCTTCACCAGGTTGTATGATACTCTGCAGGAGCGGAGAAGGTTTGTGGAGGTATCGTTATCTCAACAATCCTTCATTACAAATGAATGATTTAATGACGAAGTTTCCCCTTAGAATTTCGGCCTACAGCCGTTGCTGTAAGGCAGTGTACGCATTCCGGGATCCTTGTTCAAGTGCCAGGCGATACAACCACCACCACCAGCGGCCCTGGCACCACCACAACAAGAAAGGGGTATGAGAGGCAGCAGTGCTGGCTCCAATTCGGTTTGACAGGATGGACACCTGCTAGCAACAGCCTCGCTTTAGTTAGACTGCATGACATCATTTGTTTTATGGCATGGATGTGAATTTTAGATGAGAGATCTATAATATCATTTTGCTTGAAAAGTGGGCTTTTGGATCTAACAGGTGTTGGATGTTTGTTTGTAAAACAAATAAAATAATGCTCTTTCCTTTATCCCACATAGGAAAGTTTTGAGAAAGTGGGCCGCTTTATAACTGTAAATATCTTCTTGCTCCTTAGAGCGAAGACAATGGGGTGTGTGCTAGTCCACACAATACCCGCGTGCCGGTGCGTGAATAATTGCGCGATTATTAGGCGCACTTAGCACTAATCCCTTTATTTTTTATTTTATTTCGTGAGGTTATCTCATTAATCTTTATTAGTTGAAAGGTTGTTTTTTGTTTATTAAATGATTTTCGAAATTATGAAAATTCGGAATTTTATTTATATATATTTTTTATTTTATTTTATTCCGAATTTTACATGTGTCTTTTCAAGACAACTTTTGGAGACTATACTTGTTCAGTTTTCAACCTTTCCGGAAGGGTTGCATTTGTTCAGTTTGCAACTTCTTCCGAAGGAATATCTTTGCAACCTTTCGTGAAGAGTTGCCTATATTCTTTAAGACCGGTTTCTATATATGTCAGTTTTGAAAAAAGAAAGAAAGAAGTGAGATCAATTTTTCACGTCTTTTTTCGAAAAATACAGCCATCATTTTCAATTGTTTCCTAGAGAGACCCTGGAGAAATACTAGAATTGCTATCTAGTATTCTCATTTTGAGACTTTATTGTATCCTGGAGGATTTTTGCCGGTGACCATTAGCAGCATTGTGGGGCAAATAAATTCTTAAGGAAATTGATATCACGCCTCAAAGTCCGACTTGATTGCTCTTTTGATTCGAAGCCATTCAAATTTTACAACAACAGGTGGCTCGTAATCCTCTTTGTCTACTTAATGAAGTCCTCAATCACTGTAAACCACTCGTTAGCTCCCACAAGCAAATCTTCGCCTAAAGTTTCTCTCGTTTGCTTAAACCACGGCGGAAACTGGAAACCACTCTCTTTCTCTCTCGCGCTCTCTCTCTCTCTGAAGACAAATGGATCCTCTTCAGTTTGTTCCCTTTTTCGGTGGCCGGTATTACGCCTTATTTGATCATAGCAGAATGATCATCATGAAGTATTTTTTGGATCGGTCTATAGTCTCTTTGATAATCACGTTGTCCTCAGCAAAGGGGATTGCCACTTTGTACAATGCAGTGGTTCCATGCATCCACACCGTGTTTGTGTGGGCGAGTGATTTTGCAAATGGGTAGGATAAAATATGACAAGAACCAAGGTATGCAAGAAATTCACCACCAAAGCCTACAGAAAATCACTAACCGAGGATACAAGACTTCAATATTGAAGAAATTCACCACCAAAGAAGAATCCATCTTCTAAGAATACATATGTCGGAATATGAGTTATCCACTCTTCAAAGAAATTCGCTCACACAGAGGAAAATCTCATATATTCTTAATATTCAAATTGACTGACCTACATTTGAGAATTTGCCTCTTTATATAGAGGGATTACATAGGAAATAGACTAATCACTGAAGACACGGGAACCACCCAACATCAATGACTTGGGAACTAGAAAACAAAATACAGATCTAGGAACTAGAAAATGTATTAAAACACCTAGAGACCTAAACTTTGATTCTTGAACTCATAAAACTAAAAGTAACTACATTTGACCAAATGTAAAATGATTAAACTTAGACTCTAAATTCGTTCGTCATCCTTGGGAGCCAAATAGTCATCGTGAGATCACCAAACATCCATAGAAATTGATAAGAACACCCTTTCAGTCATAAGGTAATTGATAGGAAGTCTCGAAATTGACAATAAGATTGTATATTGGTATCTCAGTAACCTTGAATTCAACAACTTTTCCATTGAATTGGCAACTCTCTTGGATAATCGGCATTTTCAACTTGAATCGATCGATAAAGCCCAATGCTCCCGCATCAGTGTTGAATGATTTGATCCACATGTATGTGACAAGAGGTATGCAAGAAGACGAGATTGAAGACGTGAAGACTAGAAGTCGAAGATAGATGATTGAAGAAGAACTTGTCTATGTTAAATCGGCAGTCATACCACGTAGGGCTACCAAAATTAACTGAAAGAACTACACTGAATTTCATAAAAAAAAAGTTTTAGGACTACATAGACAAAATTGAAAAAGTTTAGAACTGAATTGACATTCAGACAATATGTTTATAACTGATTAGATAATTTTTCTGATGCTTTTAAATGGCCACTCACGAAAGCATGGAGCCGCAATTATAAACTTTAGTAGAGCTTTCTATTACAAACACGCCACGTGGCCATCCACATATACGATATTATATGTGTGCGCGCTTTAACTCCTCTCCTCTCTACCTAACCACCTAGCCACCGCTGCAGCTGTGGCGGTCGGCCACCGTCCCAGCCACTACAAAGACGCAGCCCCGACATTTCCTCGTCCATAGTCACCATCCACCACTTCCAAGCCACCGCCGTCCTTCTCCCCTCTGTCAAATTGCCGGCGTCACCTCGCCTCATCCGTCGATGGAGGAGACCAGATCGCATCATCGTGGACTAAAGGCCCGACCAACCTTTAACGCAAACAAGAACAGAATAACATATCAGAGTGAGTTGGGAACAGGTTCCATGCAAAGGAGAGTTCACTGGATCTTCTTAAAGACGGCACGATTCTTTTATTTTAATGAGTTTGAAGAGATCGAGAAAAGCCAGCTTGGCCTACGAGGGATGTATGAATGCTCTTCCTGCCAATTCTTGCCGGCATGCCTACCGAATAAAAAGTTGACGAACGTTTTGGTCACCCATGCGCATGGCATGTCTATGTCCCCTCTTCCTCGTACACCAAGATCTTACTAACACGGCAACTTTTTCGAAAGGGAAGTTATTGCATAATTCATGGCATAAAAGTCAATATCTTTTCATTCTCTAATTATTTGAGACCCATCGTGAAATTCACATAATTAATAATACAAATAAACTTGATCTACGTGACTTTTAAATCATAAAATCTTTTTTTTTAACATTTCAAAACGTTAGTTAGCTTTTATGTCATAGAAATCCGCAACTGATATCACTAAGACCATTGGAACATGGAATTGTCATGACCAAAATTATATGACAAATACTTGCCTGGACTTTGGTCCACGTGAAAGGAGTCTATTGTGGCCGTTAATCATGAGAGATCCACACATGAGAGCCACACGATCAACTGGCCATTTGTTAGAGCGAGAGAGAGAGAGAGAGAGGTCTATAAAATATGAGCCCTTGTCATCACTGAGTCCAGGCATGCAACTTCACACACACAACGAAATGGAACTTGAGGACTTGATGATCGCAGCAGCCATCGCATTAGGCTTCATCTCACTCTGCAAGAATCTGCTCGCCTTTGCCCGATGGCTGCATCTCATGTTCGTGAGGAAGCCGAAGAACTTGCGCAACTACGGCTCGTGGGCCGTTGTCACCGGCCCCACTGACGGTATCGGGAACGCCCTGGCCTTTGAGCTGGCCTCCAAGGGCCTCAACCTCGTGCTTGTCGGTCGAAACCCCAATAAACTCGAAGCCACCTCGGGCGAGCTGAGGCAGAGATACGGCAAAACCATCGAGGTCCATCATATAGGAAGTCTTTCATGCTTCAGTTGAATATTCTGGTGGACGATACATCTTATACATGACAAACTTTGTCCAGGTCAAGACCGTGATCGCCGACTTTGCAAAGCTGAGCGGAGAAGAGATAGCAGCGGCGATGACGGGAGCGACGGGAGGGCTCGACATCGGGTTGCTCGTTAACAACGCGGGGATGGCTTATCCGTACCCGAGGTACTTTCATGAGGTGGATCGAGAGTTGATGGACAGCATGCTGAGAGTGAACTTGAAAGCAGTGGTGTGGGTCACAAAGGGAGTGATCGACGGAATGTTGAAGAAGAAGAGAGGAGCGATCTTGAATATAGGATCTGGTTCGAGTGTGTATGTTTCTTCGTATCCTCTTCAGACCATGTATGCATCAACCAAAGCGTAAGTTTCATTAATTTTTTGTTAGTATATGAGTACTGCAGAAATTATGTAAAACTTTTTTATTAGTTGACTAGACATAAAATTTCCATGTGTATACTATTTATCAATCAAATCCTATTCCATTTTAATCTCAAATTTTTATGAAAACATTTTATGGAAAATCCATACATATATTTGAAATACACCACGACCAAATATACGTGAACAAAACCATTATTTATGATAATGAAGATAATTGACAAGTAATCAATTAAATTTCTTACGTTCTAAATTTGAATTTAAATGTATCCAATAAATTGATTTCCTTTTACGCTAAATAAATTCTTTACAAGCTAACGGATCAAAATTCTTACATATTATTCTATTTTTTCATGAATTTTTATTTTTTTCTCATTATTTCTCTTCGCATGTGCTCTTTACATATGCTGCGTAAGAATTGTACTTTGTTTGTTAATCGCAGTTTTATGGCAATGTTCTCGAGGAGCATTAGTCTTGAGTACAAGGAGCGGGGGATTGATATTCAATGTCAGGTAAATGTTAGCTATAAATTCTTATGCGTAACCTATATAGATCATGTCAAAAATTTCAATAAAAGAATGTAAGTAAAACGATTGCTTTAGTCCATTTATTTATCAAATTTTTGGTATGATAATTTCTGCCAATTGGACAAATTAGTCCAAGACTTGATATGTAAGTCGAAAAGTCACTTGCTTGCTTCCCCAATATATCAGCGATTTCAAAAAAAAGAAAAAGAAAAAGCTTAGGTGTATCGCCGATATTAGGCTTTTGCACTCACACTTGACAAGGCTGTGATAACGGGCATCTAGTGGGAAGTTGGTGCGTCAACACTCTTAGCTTAACATGTTAGCAATGGGTAGACCTGTTAAATGGGTATTAAAACCTATATATGACCCATTTAAAAAATAAATAGCTCAATATAACTTTAAAGAGCCCATCTTAAATGAGTCTTAAAATTTTAAATTTATCATAAATGGATCTTAATGGGTTGAGTGTGGAACCCATTTCCAACCCACTCATTAAGTCTACCCCTTTTTATAAAAATATTTTTTTTAAATCAAAATTTTTTATTCTTTTCTTTCTTTTTCTTTTTTTTTTCTTTTTCTCTTTTCGGCTGGTGGCCGGCCATCGGCCACAAGGGAGGAACGACCTCGCCATAGGTCGGCAAGGCCTCGGGCTCGTCGGAATTTGGCAAGCTCGGCCTCGTTGACCTGTGGCGAGGCTCCGGCCTCGCCAATCTAGTGAGACTCAAGGTCGCCAGCCTCGGGCAAGCTCGAGGTCGCTGATCTGGCGAGGCCGAGGCCTCGTCGGCCTCAGGCGAGGTCGAGCTCGCTTGAGGCCGGCGAGCTCAAGTCTCGCCACAGGCCAACGAGGCCGAGCTCGCCCTATTCCGACGAGACTCAAGCTCACCCGAGGCTAGCTCGGCTCAGCTCGCCAGAATCAGGCGAGCTCGAGGCTCGCCTAAGGCCAGCGAGGCCTCGGCCTCGTCAGATCAACGAGCTCAAGCTTCCCCGACCTCCGACGAGCTCATCCTTGCCCATGGCCGATGGCCAAATGCCGGCCGTCGTCCTAGCCGGCCACCGGCCAAAAATAAAGGAAAAATTAAAATTAAAAATAATTAAAAATTGGATTTTAAAAAAATAAAAATATATTAAATTTAATAAAATAAAAAACAATTAAAATTTGTATTGTATGAAAATGTTTTAGTAGTATAATTTTAAAAAAAAAGTCATAAGAAATAAGTTTTCCTATATTGAGTTAAATATAGAAGTGTTTTAACAATATGGATATGGATCGGGTATGGGTCAGGATATTTACATTACAAATAAATTGGTCATAAAAGGGTTAATTGGTCAATTTGGGTCAGATCATTTATAACTCGACCCACCCGTTTAACAGGTCTAGCAACGGGTGAGATAGGTCCCGGCCCGTTCAAATATCTTTTATGCTTGAGTCATCCATTCGAGTTTACTTGGCTTGCGTCTTAGCCAATCTAATAGGACAGTGAAGTATTTCATGAACAACGAAACTAGCGAGCTTCCTCATCTTCCCAAAAAAGACAAGTACGGACCACCCAAGTTTTCATGGACAACCACAATCAAGGGTGTCTTTGTTTCAGAAAAAAATTTATGATATAGGAACATACCACCCAAGTTTTCATGGGCATTCCTTTGAGTGCCCAACCCTAATCATCCCCATCTCTCTCTCTCTCTCTCTCTCTCTCTCTCATGCGTGTGTGTATTCAGTTGCAACTGCTACTGCCATGCCGTGATCACCTTCGTCTTTCTCCGCACATCAACCGTCATCTTCGTCATCACCCTCTTCGTCAAGTTATCAACCTCCACGAGCCCCATGTTGATTCCCCGTTTTGAAGGATGAAAAACTTGGTTTCTCCATGTCATCCCAAGCATCGATTCGAACGATGAAACTTCGTGGAAATTAACACCATTGTAACCCCCCCATGCTTCTCTCATTGGGGAAGGCTATGTGTAGCTACTGTGCTTGCAAGTTAAGTTAATGCTACTTCATGCTGGGCTAAAGCTATGCATTAGATCATACATTTATAAAGTACGGGCCAAAAGAATCACTTTACCCATTGAATTAAGTTTACATACGAGTCGTATACAGTGCAAAAGAAGTTAAAATTGACGTATTCTTGTATTGTCCTACTAGGTTCCCCTTTTCATAGCTACAAAGATGACCATGTTGAGGAGGCGTCCGATGCTCGTACCGTCTGCTGAAATGTTTAGCGGACCGAGCGTGCGGTGCATCGGTTACGAGCACCAGTGCAACCCCTATTGGTTACATGCAGTGCAAGGGTTCGTGATACATGCCCTAGACACAATCTTCATTAGGTACGGTCAAAGCTACCTGAAATGGATGAGAAAGGAGGGGCTTGAACACGATCGCCTTCTTTAGGTTGAATATGGCCATGCACCGCAAGAATTCTCGGGCGGCACCACCTTTGATGTTGTGCGGCTAATGTGCATGGTCTAGTTATGAGAGTTTGGGGTGATGAGAAAGGGGGACCACCCTCTAAGCCTAAGTATTCCTCAATGAACGATATCGTATAAGTACCTTGAGGTGAAGGTGAAAAGAAGTCTATTTAGGGAGTGCAATATTTATCTTCTGATCATGGTTGAACTTTTTAAATTGAAATTATCTAACCCGTTGTGAGTTTTCAATTATTAAAAAGAAAACATGAAAAGAATTATAATCCATATTGCACGTTGATTTTTTCTTCGTTTTATCCTAAATCATATGGATTACTACTAAAGTTATAGGAGTTATAAGTCTATTGTCATTTTTTGGGAAAATTGTCCAAAAAGTCTTAGAACCTATTGTACGGTAGCCAATTTAGTCCTCAACGTTTCAATTATGCCAATTTTGTCCTAAACTTTTTGACAACTTGCCAATTTAATCCTAAAACTTTCAATTATGCCAATTTAATCTTAAAAATTTGTAATGATTTACTAAGTTAGTCCTAAAATTTTCATTGATGTGGCGTCTATTTAGCGCCAGCCGTCCTACATGACAGGCCAACGCTGACATAGACAATTTTTGTAATTTTTTTAAACTTTTTGAATTTTTTTCCTTTTCTTTTATTTTCATTTTTACTTTTGTTTTTTTTCCCTATGCTAGGCCTCATTGGCCTCGGGCGAGGGATGCTCAGGCCTAGGCATGCAAGGGCGAGAGTTGTCCTCACCGGATCTAGTGAGGACCGCTGTTGCTTGGGACCTCGCCTGACCATCATTGAGGGCGGCCCATGCCAGGCCAAGCAAGGGCTACCCTCACCCAATCTAGCGCTCAATTTGGCGAGGGCGTCCCTCGCCTAAGGTCACCAACCACCAACAAGGCCTGGCAATGGTCGGCAGAGGGAAAAAGGGAAAAAAATTAAATAAATTGCAAAAGTTGTCCATACCTGTGCTGTCCATGTCACATTGAACAGCTAACATTGACTAAACCGCCATGTCAGCGATTTCCAGCCAAAATTGGCAAATCGTCAAAATGAAATTAACAAATTATCAAAATGTTTAGAATTAAATTGGCACAATTGAAAGATTTAGGACAAAATTAGTAAGTTGTCAAAAGATTTATGACTAAATTAGTACAATCAAAAAGTTTAAGATTGAGTTGACTGTCGTAAAATTAATTTAAAACTTTTCAAATAAATTTTCCTCATTTTCCTATTGATTCGAAGTCCGGAGGGTTTCAAACACCTGCTTGAATCATTGAAGACGGTTTTTAAAATGTCTTTTCCTTTTGATAAAAAATATTTCTTCAGTGATCGATTTGCTTCTCATTTTGGATGACGTCGATAATGGCAAGTAGAAGCCTTGGTACTTTGGGATTGACGATCTGACAACCTAACCGCTGGTCTTCGTATCCGCCATGACATCCATACGCCTTTTGACACGCATCTTATATAAGTTGTCGAGCCCACCCTATGCAGTAAACCTTTGCTCTTTCACTTGTCAGTCTTCCCAGAAAGAGCCCATATGACACAACACCCTCGTAATTTTTCTCCGTTTGAATTGAGATGCCGTAGATCTTAGCCGTTCCATAGATTTCAACCTGAACGAATTCGTTTGACATGATGCTCGCAAAAGACCACCAATTTTCCGATCAAAAAACGAAAAAGAGCGCCAATTCTGCTATGCAACGTACATAAAGCCAAATGCCATTTCTATTTATCTGACATGCATTATCACTTTAATTATCTTATTATATTATATACTTTTTGTCTCTTTTATATTGTGACATTGAATTTTGAGGGGACGATTGTTCAAAAAGTTGTATGACGATCAAGTCAGTCATAAATCTTTCAATTGTGCCAATTTAGTTTTAAATTTTTTGGCAATTTGCAAATTTAGTCCAAAATCTTTCTTTTTATCAATTTAGTCCTAAACTTTTTAAAGATTTGCCAATTTAGTTATAAACCTATTATTTTGATATTTGACCGGAATGATTAAATTGATAAATCATAAAAAGTTTTAGAATTAAATTGGCAAAATTGAAAGGTTTAGGACTAATTAGTAAATCGTCAAAAGATTTAAGACTAAATTAACATAATTTATGGGTTTATGATTGAATTGACCTCCGCATAATAATTTTAGGACTTTTTGGACAATTTTCTTAATTTTGAGAATAACATAGAGTTTATCTCAAGGGTTCCGAGCTTGTTGTGCTTTTTTACGAGTTGTACCCGTATTGAAGGGTCAATGAAAACTTTTAATTTTGAAAATTGCTCGGAAAAGCCGTTGAAAATTTTGGTGATGTTGCAATTGTCATATTTTTGGCATAAATGATTTCTGACATGTTACATAATTAATTGACTAAAGAGAATACATGAAGTAAATTCATAATTTGAGTAACTTTTTGTGAACATAACACGGCATGTGTTTTATACGTGTATAATTTGGTTTACTCCAAAAGTACAAATGCTTTTTTGTAATAGCAAAACGTGCGAAAGAGGAAAATTTTTTAAACTTAAGTACGTATGTGTACTTTATGTAAAAATACGAATATTTTACTAACAAAGAGCATTGCATGTATGCAAGAAATTGACATTTAAAAAATTAAGTAAAACCACTCTATTGTTAATATTTCAATAATAAATATTTGGAAAGAGAGTAGTATCACATAGAGATTGCATAAGTATATTCGAAAAGATAAAAATGTTTCAAGATTGAAATTTTTTCACCAAAATTTGTGTAGGATAGAAAAGATTCAAATTTTAGGATTAAAACATGTGAGAAACAAAATAGCATTATTAATTTACTCATTTAACCATGGATATAGTATCTATATGATAAGTAAGTAAGGTTATATGAGGAAAAATTTGATCGAAATTCCTTAGAAGTAAAGGTCCTCTTTGTTTTATTTAATCATATGGATAAAAATACATCTTGATTTATAAAGCAAAGAATAATATTTAACTTTTTTTATTTAATCATATGGATAAAAATACATCTTGATTTATAAAGCAAAGACTAATATTTAAACTGTTCTTTAAGAGATTTCTTACTCATTTAACAATCTTTTTAAGTATTACAATAGCTTTAGACTTTTGATAAAACACAAGATTATCCCTTTTTTCCCTAATAATAGAATTCTTTCCTTAAATCTGTTCTAAGACCCAATAGATGCAATCTTTCAATCAAACTTAATGTTACTAAAATTGGAATTGATCTAATAGTAAACACAGTGTTCACAAAATTTTTTTTCCCAAAGCGCAAAACTGAGTTATTTCTTAAGTTGGAAACAGTTACTCATTTAATTATCTAATGTTCCAATTAGACGCTTTATGCTCATTGTAAGATTTTTTTTTTTAACTTTTTGGGTATCGATAGGGTGTCTGGGACTCTTTCAACACCCCCATCGAGTGTGGCAATCCCCTATCCCACACACACGAAGTAATTACTGGAGACACACAAATCTATGCTCCTGAGTATAACCCCAAGAGAATACACAAATGCGGAGATTAGATTTCCCAATTCTAGCACTTGCCTTTGTTTATAAAAGCTTTCCGGCTATTAGTGCTAATTTGACAAAAAATCATGCAATTTGCTTCTTTGTTCCCAATCTACTGTCTGCACATTACTTTTATATTTCGAATCTTACAAAGCTATTGAAACTTCAAGGAATATTAAAATCCATTTTCTTTTGATTTGAAGCCAAATTCGATACTTTTGGACTTTTATAATTGAAACCATTGAGTTTCTATCGATCACAGCAGTCACAACCTTCCCAAAGGTGAATCACCCAAGGGAAAGCTAATAGATTACTAAGCACAAAGACTTAACACAGACTCTCCCAAGCCCATACAAACTGCAACTTTTGGGTTTTGATTTAATTAACTTAACATGCAAATCAGTTTATTCAGGAGTCGCCACTAATCAGTTATTGGAAGGTCGATTAAACAACTAAGTACAGTGTAAAAGAACACTTTATTCCTGTGAACCAAAGATATCATGGATATGGAAACTTGGTTGCTAAATAAATCTAACGCACTTTCGGTACCTTTTCATTTATTTTCAAAAATATTTCGCAAGAAGTCTTTTGTCAATTTTAATCCTAAGCCACCAACCTAGAAGGATAATCATGTGGATGCGCAATAAATAATGTAACACTCGAGAAATCAAAGCAATAAATAAATTGTTAAGAATAGGGAAAGAATATAAATACCCCAAGCAAGCAAAAGCCTTATTAATTCCAATAACTGTTCTGCAAGATGTCAATTAAAAATGCATGCATGGACGAATAGCATTCAGAAATTATGTTTGGGTTTTTCTTGTTTATAAAAACTAAACTATATGCAATTTTTATGTAAGTTTAACATGCATGAATTATTAAACTAATGACATATGACATGACCTAATTTTAATGACGAGCAAAAATTACGAATTAATCTAACATGACATGCAATCTAATTTATATTAGCCTAAACATGCAATAACCAAATGACACGGAAATATGACATGAAAATAATGACACGGCGAGTGATGACATGTCATTGATAACATAGTGATGACATTGAATATATGCAACTAATCCGATATGATATATGCATATTATTTTTCATTATTTGCTTTTAAAGTTAAAATATGAAAATACCTAAATGTGTAATAACCTAATTCAAACAAGAAAATATTTATATTAAACCCTATTCTAAATTAGGAATTTCCTAAATTAATACATTGCTACTAAACATACAATTCTAAACGGGAAGCTAATCTATCCTTACATGCAATGTAGTTTTTTTTTTTTTTCATAATAGGAAAGTTTCTTAAAATAAACATGCAATTTAATAAACCCATTTAATCAATATATTTACCACAACCCAAACACAAGAAATCAATATAATAAAAAATCCAATCTAACGTCTTGCAACTCAAATTCTTGATTATTAATATATTTAATCAATATATTTTCAACGAAGGAACTTTCTTAACCGGTAAATGCCTAAAACTCGAACAATCAATCACTTAGGATCAAATAATCCGAATGAGGCAACACAATATTTGAATTGAATTGGGTTTAATTTTACAAAAAAAGCCACAAAAAACCTCAAATTATACCAACTGTGATTTTTTTTTGTGATATCAAAACCCTCGAATTATGTTGACACATTTATCTTAAACTTTTTATTGTGATATAAAAAAAACCAAACTCGTACCTATGTGACATATTTTATCCTTCAAATTTTGTTTCACTTAAGCCACGTTGACGCCATGTCAATAATATATGCTTTTTAGCGTTCATGTAGGCAGATTTTTAATGTTCTCCTTAACATATGGTAAATGTGTAGACTTTGGTGTCACAAAAAAAATTCTAGGATAAATGTGTCACAATGGGCATAATTTAGGATTTTTAGTGGCCTTTGCCTTTTATTTTATTACCTAATGCCCACAAACTGGCGACGAGGAAGTGCGGTAGTGACTGACAAGGATGATTATGGCAAGTGTAACCGTGATGCAAGTGGTTGAGGGAGCGATAAAGAAGCAATGACGTTAATGAACCTTGAGCAAGAGCGTGACTAGACCAGCAGGAATTTCAACAACAATGACCAAAACAACAACGGTGGATTTTAGACCGCCGGGCAACACTAGGAAGTCACTGAACTGCTATAGTGGATTACAATGCCAACCGCACAGACCGTGTCATTCAGTAACTGTTTTAAAAGCAAAACGTCCCACATCGGTCGCTTGCTACTACAACGTCAGCCGTATCGGCTGCGTTCGTCTAGTTACTATTTTAGTAAGCAAAGCTCGTCGTATAGGCCACTTGCTATTTTACTACTACTCATATCGAAGAACTGACATGACAGTAAGACTTGCCGCCCTCAGACAAGCCAAATCCTAAAATCTAAGTCTAGGCGTCTTTTGAATTTTTATTTTTATCCAAACTCAAGCTAATTTAGTTATCTTGAGTTTATTAGCTTGAGTTTGAGGGAGGATGCTTAAGAAAATTAGGATATTTTCCTATATAATAGATAATTAGAATATTTCTGTTTGTTTTTTGAATATTTCAAAATTATGTAATATCTCCTTCGATTGTGCATATATTGATTGATATGTGTTACCTTTAATAGTCTCTCAAAAAGCCTATAAATAAGCTAATGTATTCCTCATTATAATATATTGAATATACATAAATCCCTCAATTCCATCTTTTCGATTTTTAGTTTGCAAGAGGAAGACAAAACCGTGCGGGTAAATACCCAGAGGAGAAAACCTTGGTTTTGGCCAGCGGAAAAGGAGAGTCTCTCTTGAGAGTGTGTCATAACGGGGGTCCTCTCTTTTACTTTTTCTCTGAAGCATGTGACGACACTCTTTCTTCTTCTTTTTTGTGGCCGTCCCCTTTGTGAAAGGCTTGGATTCTCTCTTTTTTGTATCGTGGCCCTCCTCTCTCTCTCCATCTCACCGGCCTTTTTTGTATTGTCTTGATGAGTGGTTAGGGCTTTTCAAGATATCAATTAGTTTATCCCTTTCCTATTCTAAACCAAAAAATATATCCTCACTTCTTATTTTAATGCCATTAAAACTTTGAAAGATAATATCTTTCATCCCGTCCCAAATTCGATCAAATAACGTACTCGCCTAGCACCCCGCATACATATTATATCCAAAATGTCGGCCATATTAAATATTCAATGGGCTTGACCAAATTTTCATAATCTTGGGCTTAGTCTAATTAAGCTCAGAACTGATTATTTAAGTCCATCTGCCACCAGTCTAAGGCACATTATGAATTTAACAAATATGCAAATGCAATTATTGATTTTTTTTGTTAGGGATTAGGGTTTCTTTTTATGCAAGGAATAACTAAACAAGTAGTTAAAATTTAGTTGTCAACAATGGCTTAATCATAATATGCGTAACTAGAAGCCAAACTAATCTTATGTAATGGAAAGCTCAATGGATCCTCCTAATATGCCACAGCTTTTGTTTTAGAGTTTGAAGAGATGGAGCGAAGCCAGCCTGGCTGAGAGGTCCATGAATGAACCGCACATGTCTATGTCCCCCTGCCTCGTACAACGAATTCGGCAATCGACAGGACAGGTGCAGGCTTTAGTCAATGGACAACGCTCTCCTGTCCTTTGCCAATATTGGCAACTGTTGCCAATCATTAGCTAGGTTTTATCACCATTGCAGCCCTCGGGTTAAAGGATTAATAACTTCACCCGAAACTAGGTCAATAAGAAGGCCATGGTCATTACCATGTTCACCAGAATTAGAACGGGAAATTGCTCCGATCCAACAAGATTACTCAAACGCTGTAAGAGGCCAAAGAGCCTAAACGAGGTGGGGCGCGGTGGATGTGTGGCTGTGAGTTGTGTAATATTTTGTAAGATTACTACCAAATGTTCTAAAAATTAAAGCTGTTAGATTAAAGTGTGTTTTTTAAATATTTTATCATTCCCCCTCATACTTAGTTTGGTCTTTTTGTCTAATATTAAACGTGAACATATTTGACTAAAAAGGTAAATAGAGATCTGAAAAGATTGGAACTCAGGACCACCTGAGGGGAAATGATAGAATATTTTAATATTAAATCACGTTTTTATCTAACAATTTAAACTTCTACAAGAGATGACAGTAATTCCACAAAATCTCATAAGTTGGTGGCTAGAGAAATGGAGTGGGTGGAGAGAGAAAGAAGAGAGACAAAGAACAGGGGATGGGTGTAGATCAGTGTAAAAAAATAATCTATACACTCACTGTTAATTTACATGTGGAAGATTCGGGTACAAATCTATCTTCGGACATGCGGTGAGGAGATAGAGTAATTAAGACAAGTAGTTGAGAACATGAGGTGAGAGAGACGTCTATAACTATTAGCACCTACCATCACAAAGTCCTGGGGCAACTGCACAGATCGCAACAGCCATCACAAAGTCCCAGAGCATTGTTGGCTGTCATGGCACTGTCGGCAATTATGTTAATAATTTTGTAATTTTTTGAATTTCTTTTCTTTTTTATTTTTATTATTTTATTTTATTTTTTTGTTTATCCTTCCACTGGGTCTCGTCGATGGTCGGAGACCTCCGCCAACCTCAAGCCATAGCCGCCCTCGCTAGCCTTGAGAGAGGGACTCTCGAACCTAGGCTGGCGAGGGTCACCCTCCCCTGGGCAGGCGAGGGCAAGGGCGATCCTAGCCGAAGGTCAGTGAGGGTTGCCCTTGCCAATCCGACAAGGGCGGCCCTCGCCTATTGATGAGGCCCAACGCTGGCCAGCGGAGGGAGAAATGGAAAAAGACAAGAAAATAAATCATAAAATAAAAAAAAATTACAAAAATTATTCGCGTTAGCATCGGTCGTGCAACATAGAATGACTTGCATTGACTAAGCCTCCACGTCAGCGATTTCGATCAAAATTGGTCAAAAGAATTAAATTGACAAATTATCAAAAGATTTAGGACTAAATTGGTACAATTTCAAAGTTTATGATTAAATTGGCAAGTATCAAAATGTTTATGACTAAATTAATAAGTTGTCAAAAGATTTAGCACAATCAAAAAGAAAACAAAGAAAAGAATAAATAAATCAAAAAAATATTTAAAAATTTTCACGTCATCGTCTAGACGAATGACGAATGTCCACGTCAGTGCCGGCCAGCCAAACTTGGCCGGATGGAATGAAGTGATATAAATACAAAATTTTTAGAACTGAATTAACTAAAAAAATATTTATAATTGAATTGGCACAATTATAAAAGATTTAGAATTTTTTTAATAATTTTTCCTCCTGACCTGGTTAGTACCATGTCCACCGGACTTAGAACGGGATTGCTCCGATCCAACGAGATTGCTCAAACGCTTTAAGAGGTCCAAAAAGAAGAGAGAGAAAGGGAAGGGGATGGGCATAGATCATTGCGAGAAAATAATTTACACACTTACTATTTATTTTACACGTGGAAGATTTGAGTACACAAGTATCTTCGGACGCAGGGTGAGAAGAGAGAGAGAGAGAGTTATTAAGACACGTGGCTGTGGAGAAGAGTGAGTGAGAGACCCGTTAGCGCTTGCCATCACGAAGTCCCTGTGCAGCTACACACCATACCAAGCAATGGCACTTGCGGACTTCTTGATCGCGGCGGCCACCGTACTAGGCTTCATCTCACTCGTCAAGAACCTGCTCGCCTTCGGCCGATGGTTGCACGCCGCGTTCCTGAGGAAGCCGAAGGACTTGCGCGACTACGGCTCATGGGCCGTCGTCACCGGTGCCACCGACGGCATCGGGAAAGCCCTGGTCTTCGAGCTCGCCTCCAAGGGCCTCAACGTCGTACTCGTTGGTCGGAACCCCGGCAAACTCGAAGCCACCTCGAGCGAGCTGAGGGAGAGATACGGCACAACCATCGAGGTCCATCATATAGGAAGTATTCCATGCTTCAGTTGCATACTCTGATGGACGATATAGCTTATGCATGACATGCTTTGTCCAGGTCAAGACCGTGATCGCCGACTTTGCGAAGCTGAGCGGAGAGGAGATAGCGGCGGCAATGACGGGAGCGACGGAAGGGCTCGACGTCGGGTTGCTCGTTAACAACGCGGGGATGGCTTATCGGTACGCGTGGTACTTTCACGAGGTGGATCGAGAGTTGATGGAGAGCATGTTGAGAGTGAACTTGAACGCAGCTGTATGGGTGACGAAGGGAGTGATCGATGGAATGTTGAAGAAGAAGAGAGGAGCGATCTTGAATATAGGATCTTGTTCGAGTGTGTATGTTTCTTCGTATCCACTTCAGACCTTGTATGCATCAACCAAAGCGTAAGTTTCCTGTTTTAGGTTAGTGTGCAAATATTGCAGAAATTACGTAAAACCTTTTCTTAGTTGACTCGACATCAAGTTTCATGTGTATTCTATTTATCGATGAAATTCAAAAGCCGCTTTCATTTCAAATTTTTATAAAATTTTAATGAAAAACTCATTTATATATTTGAAATACACTACGACTGCAAGCAATACGTGGACAGAATCGTAAAATTTTATAATCAAGATAATTGATAAGCAGTCAAATGAATATCTTACAGTCTAAATTTAAATTCAAAGTAAATATAAAGAATTAAATTAATTAATTTCCTCTTGCGCTAACCAAATTATTTACAAATTAACGGATCAAATTTTTTTTTTCATTTCTTGTTAATTTTATTATTTTCTTATTATTTCTCTTCACGAGTAACGTGTGTGCTCTTTATATATGCTGAGTAAGAATTGTATTTCATTTGTTGATCGCAGTTTTATGGCAACGTTCTCGAGGAGCATCGCTCTTGAGTACAAGGAGCGTGGGGTTGATATTCAATGTCAGGTAATTGTGTGTTATATATTATTTTATATAGAGGTAATATCACAAAATCTCAAGTCGATACACCTGTGACAAATTTACATTTTGTTAGTTTTCATTAAATTTTATAGTCAAATTATTGAGTTAAATGATACGTGGCAGTTGACGAGTATATCAGTTTAGGGTTTTACCCTCCGTTTATCACAAGTGTATTAATTTGTGATTTTTTGTTATATTAATCCAATTTAACGGAAACTAACGGAGGGTAAATTTATCACAAATATACCATTTTTGGGTTTTTTTGTCAAAAATTTAATTTGGAGTAAATTTGTCGTTACTAGTTTGGAATTTTTTGTAGTCAAAAAATAAGTTTTGAGTAAATTTGTCATAAGTGTACCAGTTTAGTGTTTTTCATAGTATTAACCCTTTTATATATTAGTTCATGTTGAACCTTTCAGTACATGAATGTAAGCAAAATGACCAACCTTGCTATAGTCGACTTATCTATCAAATTAAAGTTCATGAACTTATGCCAATCGGCCGTGGTCCAAGACTTGATTTACGAGTCAAAAGGCCAATTTATATTCTCCGATATAGTCGCACTCTCATGAAATCTTGGTTAGTATGTGAAGAAGGGGCCTAGGGTTAGGTGCATTGCTGATACTGGGCTTTCTAAGTCGCATTTGGTGAGGTTGTGATAACGGGCTTGCTTGATGAATAGTTGGTACTTCCCTGGTACCTTAAATCAAACATTTTAGCAGCTAAAGAGGTTATTCCCAATCCCGTTCAATTCCTTTTTAGATAAAAAAAAGAGTAACAATTTTATGTTTGAATCATTCATCAAAATTAATTTGGGTTACGTTTTATCCGGTCTAATAGGATATTGAGGCATTTCATGAGCCTTATATTCACTACCTAACTAGCGAGCTTCCTTTTCTTTTGAGAAAAGACAATTAAAGACCGTAAGATTTTACATGGACCCCATCAAAATTCATGTACTTGACCAATGACCAGCCACAATCAAATGGTTCTCGAAAGCTATTTTCTGGACATTTTTAATAATATCAAGCAAACCAAGTTATCTAGGTGATAATGCTTGAGGAAGGATAGGGATAGCTCAGCTGGTACAATCCAATACAAGATTAAAAATCCTCATGTCACCCGTTCATATCTGATTCTTGGCATATTAAGAATTAGTATGCACCCGAATTAATTGATGCCTGCAACCTAATTGATGGGGATGACATTACGAATTCATTAAAGTTGCCCAACTTAGTCGTCCCATATTACATCCTCTCTCTCTCTATTAATTGATGTCCGCAACCTAATTGATGAGGGTGACATTACGTATTCATTAAAGTTGCCCAATCTAACCGTCCCATATTACATCCTCTCTCTCTCTCTCTCTCATGTTTGTTCACTTGCAACTTCTAATGTGCTACGGTCATCACCTTCGTCATACATCAATCTGTCTTTTCGTCATCAAGTCTTCAACCTACATCAGCCACATGTTGAGTCCGCGGTTGGTAACTTTCGGAAGCAAAATGTTTTTTTATTATTCAATTTTTCTTTTTCCCTTTTCTGTCTCCTCAGTCTTCCACCGTCCAAGGTTCTTCCATCCCTTGTTTGTTCTTTTCGTAATTCTCATCCTAATAAATTCACAGTAGCAATGATAGTAACAGCAGCAATCAGTCCCATGCGCAACTTAACCTAGCTAATTGCACCAACATTTTGTTCGACAGTAACGTATAGAATATATCTAAGTCGAATTAGATAGAAAGACATGGTTTCTGCTTGTTATCCCAAGCATTCATTTGAATAGGTGAAACTTAAGAGGAAATTAACATTATTAAACCCCTGTGATTCTCTCATTAGGGGGCAGGCTACCTTACATATCTATGTATAGCGAAGGTGCTTGCAAGTTACATTAATGCTACCAAGCGGCATTAGATTATCTGTGTATAAAGTCTGGGTAAGAATAATTCTTACCCACGTGTCAAAAGATTCACTTTACACGTTGAATTAAGTTTACATACAAGTCATATACAACCCAAAAGAAGCTAAAAACCAATGTATTCTTGAATTCTCCTGCTAGGTTCCCCTCTGCATTGCTACAAAGATGACCAAGTTGAGGAGGCGCCCGATGCTCGTACCGTCTTCTGAAATGTTCAGCAGAGCAAGCGTGCAGTGGATTGGTTACGAGTGCCAATGTAACCCCTATTGGTCACACGCAGTGCAAGGGTTCGTGTTGCATGCCCTAGACACGATCACCATTTGGTACTTCAAACGCCACATGAAATGGGTGAGAAAGAAGGGGCTTGAGCGAGATCGCCATCTTTAGGTCAAATATGGCGGTGCACCGTAAGAATTCTCGAACGGTACCACCTTTGATGTTGTGTGACTAGTGTGCATGCTTTAGTTATGAGAGATCAGGGTGATAGATATAATGTAAAATTTTTATTGTGACTCTTTTGGAGTTGACGTGTTAGGTTGTAAAAACTCTTGGTTTTGTGTGCTCGATTGGATTTCCATCAATAAGTCCACTTACATTCTTGTCCTCCCTTATTTGCATTTCACTTATAAGAAAACCAGACTCCAAAAAAAAGAAAAAAAAATACGTGTATCTAAAAGTTAGTATAAGCGTTTATTTTCAAGGTCTCATGCATTCAACATTAAGAAAAAAGTCAAAAAGCGTGTGTAACGCAAAATTTTAAAAAAGTATAAAGTACCAAGAAAAGAATACCACTCAAAACATACATTCACATTCAAAGAGACAACGTAAGGAGAACTCATGGGGCTTCCTCGTTTAATATAAGTGGAAAAATACAAAAAACGGAACATTACATTTTGCACTTCTTACATTTACCTCATCTATATCTAAGTATCAAAAGTCAGAAATTAGAAGAAAGCTTCAGCAGACTTCATCGCGGTGCTTCATCGTCTCGCAGCTCGACAATGAGAGGCAACAGCAGCACCGGTGAGGTTTGCGGCCAAGGGGGGCAGCTCGGTCAGCTCTCGGCAGAGGGTGGCTCAGCCATAGGGGGTCCTGGCCAAGGAACTCCTCTCTCTCTCTCTCTCTATGTGTGTTTTTTAATGTGTTCTTTCTAAAGTTGCCGACCTCTAAAATTGAAGACCTAAACATGTTTATATTGTGGTAACCTAGGTCTAATCTCAATTTCACGAGCTTAATTTTAGCCTTGTTAAATAATGGACTCTAATAACCTAAGGCCTTTCACTGATTAAAGCTCTTATGGGCTAAATTCACTAAATTAGACCCCCCCTCTCCAGTGAATTTCAGCCAGTCCTAGTGTGCATGGGCTTGGCTGAATTTTACTCACTTATGGGCTCGGTCTAGATATTTCAATTAAGCTCAAAACCTTAATCCACCTCTGGTCCAATTTTAATGCTATTTTATGAACTTATTTATTAATAAAATATGCTCCTAAGAACTACATACAGCTTAATGAAAAATATTTTTGCTAAGGGTCGGGGTCAATCCTAATTTTCTACGCAATAAATTCCTAAATAATTAGTCAAAATTTAGGTCTCAACAATTTTCTAATCTTGAATACATATATATATATATATATATATATGGGATATGCTTTTGATTTTAATTAGGAAATTCCATATCAAAAGAAAGCCCTAATCATTGTCTATATAGGCACACTTTTCTCACAATTAAAAGGAGTTGACGCAACAGGGAGGAGACTACAATACACGGTTAGAAGAGAGAAAGAACAGCTCTCCCTTTGGCCCGTGGCTGTTCTTCACAAAATTGGCCTTGCCGTCGCGACTTGCCGCTGCTCAACCTCACGCTGCCACCACCATGCCGGAGCTGCATCATCTTCGACGCTGCTACCCGACACTTGGCCATGTCTCCAGCCCGCTGCAACAACCTCGGCGTCATCCCTGCAATCCCAGAGTTGCAAATAGAACTACCAATAGTTTGGCCGGCATGCAAATCCATCAAGCCTTGCAACGACGTCGGACCCTTCACCGTCGCTTCCTGCCATGCCAAATCAGCCTTCACAAGCACCTGTTTCCGTGCTATTTCCAACTCCGGCGAGTTTTCTCGCAGGTTCTCGACGAGTTGTTGTCGCCCAATCCTCACCTAAACACGACTCTTTTTTCGATCACTTAAGTGCCAAATAAATTTTAAATCAATCATTTGAGTGTCATAATTTTTTAAAAACGTTTAACACAAGTGTTATGCCACATCAGATTTCCGGCACTTGGGTAAACGTTTTAAAAAAAAATTTGATACTTAGGTCATCGATTGAAAGTTATGGCACTTGAGTGAACGTTTTTTTTAGAAATTATAACACTTTAATGGTAAAAAAAAAGTTATATCACTCAAGTGAATGCTATACGACAGTTATGACACTTATGGTATCCTTATCCCATTGCATGTTATTTAGTAATCATGTTTAGAAATCATGCTCGGGTCATGCATTGCATCATTAGGTCATCATTCCTTAATAACGTCATTTAAGTCATGTATAGGTGTCCTAGAACTTAGTATTTACTTCTATAAGAAAAGAAAATACAAATCTCTCACATAGTTTATATAACAGGATTAGTCCATAATTGATCGTATTTCATATAATTAGAGTTGCATATAGGTTGCATTTATGTAATTAACTTAGCATACATGTTATTTAGATTTCTAGTTCATCAATGCACGTTTATTTATAACTCATTTAGTCATAACATTTGAATTAAATCATATTCATGTTAAACAAGGAAAAAATCAAAGAGAATTAATTAGCCTTGCATACTTGCATTTAGAAATCACGTCTAGGTCTTGCGTACATTGTTTGGCCTTTAATTAGCATTTTGCAAAATACTTGAACGTATTGGACATAATGGAGCCTTTAGCTTGCTTAGTGCATCAAGGTTCTTCAAATCCTTTCACAATTAGTCTACTACTTTGATTATTGAGTGTTATATTCTTGTTTGTGCACCCACATGATCACTTATCGCTCGCTGTGACTAAGATTGAAATCGACCAAGACTACTTGTAAAACATTTTCGAAATAAAGACAAAATGTACCAAAATGGTGTTTGATATATCTAGTGTAATTAAGCCCCCGAATCCATGAAATCTCTAATTCGCGGGACATTTTAATTCAGCTTCTAATCGACCCGTAATAGATTGGTAAAGACTCTTAGATGAATTAACTTGCATGTTTAATTGATTAAATTAAACCCCAAAGTTGCGATTAGTATAAGCTTTCGCGCTAAGTGTCTACTTTGTGTTCCATTAGTTTTCTCTCGGTTGTTCACCCGTGGAAAGGTCGCAACAAACGTAAGGGTGGCTTATCCCTACCCGAAATACTTGCACAAGGTGGATCGAGAGTTGATGGAGAGCATGTTGAGAGTGAACGTGAATGCAGGGGTGTGGGTGATGAAGGGAGTGATCGATGGAATGTTGAAGAAGAAGAGAGGAGCAATCGTGGATATTGGGTCCAATTCCACCGTGTTTATCTCTTCGTATCCTCTCCGGACCCTGTATGCATCGACCAAACCATACGTTTTGATTGTCTCCAGTTTTGAGTTTTCCTTTTTTGGTAATTTATTCACATATATTGCAAAAGTCTTCTCTTTCTTGCTATTTTCTTTTTAGATCGCAGCTATATCAAGATTGATATACAAATTTGGTATGCTAAACAGTGTGACAGACTATAAGTAGTCATAAGAAGTTAATAGATAGTTTAATCACAAAGTACCTAGGCTTACTTGTCATGCTTCATTCGAGCCAGACTACGATTAACGATATTCTGTCCAAAAAAATCTTCACTTTTTGCATTCAAATGCTTACATGGTACCCATAAGATCGTGAAAGGACAGTGTTAACCATTCTATGTGTACCTTCCACTATCGAGTTCATACCCCTGGGACTTGAGAAGGTTAGCGCAACCAAATGAAGGGCCATCATCACACTTTTCATTTCCCATCAACTAGCTAAATTAAACTTTAATTCAAGTTGTGTAGACATTGAGAATATATGATTATAACGTGATGAAAGAGAGTTGAATCTGAGTTATATACTCTTATGGATCATTTAGCTCGACTAATGCACCATTGGACTAGTCAATATGCTTCATATGATACGATGTTGAAGTTGATCCATCCTAATAACAAGGGAAATTCTTTCTGAACATTCAATGTAAAACATGTAATTTAACGATGAGCCACGGCCATATGATCGATTGTATTGATAAGAAATCAAACTGACAAAGTATTTAAGCTACATACAAACCGTAATTCATACACTTCTCTGATTTTATGATGAATTTTTATTCCATACGCCGTCACCATAAAAACCAGATCTCTAGAACCGTGGCATCCGTATGACCCATCTGGTTCTAAACCAAGAGACATAGTTTGATTAATTGAAAGCCATACAAGATTTGAAAGATGAAACTTGGTATGTGTGAGTTTTTATTTTTGGGTCAAATTTTTTTTTATTCATTTGTCATAATCAAACATGAGAGAAACATAGAAAGAGTCCAAGCAAAGCAAATCCCAAAAAAGCTTCAAAACAAAACAAAATCTAGAAAACAAAATAGTCTAGTTTGCAGTTATAAGCATGCTCTTATCCCAAAAGATCAGATCTATCATGATATCAAAAAACAATCGGCGATAGATCACCGGAACCGTCAGTAATGGGCACACATCGAGATCTTCCCCTCGAGAAAATAGGCTTGTAGTGCGCACTTAGATTCGGCGTCTTCAACACCATCACCATGTGAAAACAACAACATCAACAACATGTTACACCACCACCAATCGAACGACTCTAAAAGACTCCAAGATCTAAATTTAGATTGAGAGAGAAAAGCTCATAGATTTAGATATACACCTTAATCGGGAGAGAATAGCTTCCGCCAAATCTCGAAGAAGTCATAGAACCACGTCTCAAGCATCCTACTGGCTAGACTGGTAATGATATTCTCACAAAATTTTCAGCTACAAGCAAATTTATTCACCACGATGAACGAAGAAAAGCAACAATAACGAGCGAAAGGAAACACTAAACGAGGCGAAAAATAATTCCCAGATTAGATCGGAAGAGAAAAAAAAAAGAAATCAATATCTAAAAAAGAAAAGTTGAGGGATTGTAGGTGAAGTTTTTTTTATGGACAGTTTTTTTTGGGAGAAAGAGGATTGCCAACAAATAGGCAAGTTTTTTTTTTTGTCATGTCATACTATAATTCTCAACTCACTCTCGAATTTTTGTCCTAACTATTTATAGAACATAAGAGTCAAAATTCACACTTGAAATTAAACGTCTTTACCCACAGTCCCTTACGAGAAGATGGGAATTTGAACTCCCCACCACTCTCTTTTTACATGGGAAAGGTCAGTGGTTGATGAATAGGTGAGTTGATTGACGATTTTTCTTAGGTATGGTGCGGGCTGCACAAATACGGTACAATTATAGCTTCCATGATTAGATGGAGTGTGACTTTACATTGAGAGAAAGAGATAGGGCGGTCGTAGGTACGTGAAGTAGGTTGATGGCGTAAACCGCCATTTTTAATGCAAATTAGGAAGATATTTATGAGACCTTTTCATCCAACCATTTCGTCGTCTCTCTTAACATGCTTGTGCTTCGCCCGTTATGGTTTCTCGTACAAGAGTTACAGCTAATTATCAAACAAATGGACATGCCGTGCAAAAAAAGTCTGAAAAGATTGCCTTTCCCCGCATTTGTTTCGTACATGTGATTTCGTGCTAAAAACATTTGATTAATGAGAGCGACATTATCACGAAAACAGAAATTGATAACAGACTATTCAATATGCACGTGGGGATTGATAGAATATATAAATCACGTCTTTATTTATCAAGTTTAAGTTTTCAAAACAGTTGACAATGATCTCACGAAATTTCACTTAGTATTGGAGCAGGAGGTCCTGAGTTCAAAACTTTTTAGACTCTATATGCCTCCATAATTAAATAAGTTAATGCTTAGTACTAGCAAAAAGACCAGACTAATCGTAAGGGGGACTGATAGAATATTTAAACATTAAACTTAGTCTTCATCTACCAAGCTTAAGCTTTTACAACTGTTAGCAGTGGTCTCACGAAATCCCGGGGAAGTGCAGACGTGGTGATTGCAATCTCGGCCGATCAGTTGTCAAATTGGTTGTGGTCGAACCAAGTTAGTCTTGGTGTTGCCCGATCAGGAAGTGGGCTCGCTATCACCCGACGATGCTGTCATAGCTCGTCTCCACCATTAATTCCATATCTTCCATTTACTTTCATCAGCGGTCAAAAATTAGTTGAGGCGCAAACTAGGAACGCCGAGAGCCACCTGCCCCTGTCGACCCCAAGTCGAGGACGCGAGGTTGGCCGGCGGCAAATTCAAGCAAATCAAATCCAACTCTCCAGTATTTAAAACAGCAAAGCAATCCAATCCAAGTGAATTTCGATAGAGAGGATGAATGTAAGGCCCATATCATATCAAGCCCCAAGGAGAACCGGAATACAAAACTTGAACAAGAAATAGCAATCTGACATAGGTAGACTCAATTCGAACATGAACGCCACTTAGACAGGCCCGATTCTAACTTGCAAAATCATATAGAAATCTGTTTCAAACGGTACCACAATAAGTTTTATTGAAGGAAAAAATAGACTGAACTTAAGCTTTTAGAATAGTTGTCAGTGGTCCCATAAAATCTTACAATAATTTTCTTCGTGTGTATCTTCCATATACATACATGCATATATATACACACATTATTCTTTGGGAAAATGTCAAATAAGGACCCAAAGTGGGTCTCTTTTGTCAAAAAAGAACCCCAAGTGGACAATGTGTCAATTAAGGACCCCAAGTGTCCAAACTAGTGTCAAATAAGGACCTGAGCTCGCCGGCCGGCCAAATGTTCGCTAACCGGCAACCGTGAGACATTTCCGACGCCGAAATAGGGGCAATTTTGTCCAAAATTTTTTTTTCCTTCCTTTTTCTTTTCCTTTTTTTTCCTATCTTCTTCCCTGGTCCGACGACCGGCCAGAGGCTGAGGCCGGCGAGGGCCGAGCTTGCCATGGCTGGGCGAGCTCAACCTCGCCCAGATTTTGGTGATATTAGTACCGTAAACTCAAATCAAGATTAGTAAAATGCTATAACTTCACAATACCATAAATTACCATTTCTATATATATACGTAGCCCGAAAACTCTTTAATCAAACGCAACATCTCAAAACAAACGCAACAACTCCAAACGAACGATTCCTCCGATTGACGAACAATAGGTTCGAATACTTACCCGGCGTTACAACAAAACAGAATTCAATCGGCTTCGAATCGTGAATGCATGAAGATTTTCCTCTTTTTCCTCTTTCCTCTCCCTTTTTCTTTCCCGCGGATGAGCTCTCTTCTTTGGTAATGTTGCTGGTCTTCTCCTCTTTACACTCACGCACGATCTGTAGAACAACAACTGCAAGAGCAAGCATCGGCAATTGTATCTCGGCCAAAATATCCCTAATTTGGTTTTGCATTTTCTTCGGATTTAGCAGACGCTGCCTCATTTGTATCAAAACACCTAATCAAACTATTTTGAAGAGACTTGGAGGGAAATACTTCTACAGATTGCAAAAATAAAAAATGAGCATAGGATGACAAATGAAAAGAGTGGTATTAAACATTGCCTCTGCCGTGCGCCGGCGTCGTCCATCACACTAGTGCGCTAGAGAAGCATGACCGGCAGCGGCATCTTGGTGAGAGCTTTGAGTGGGATAGTGGAGAAGTCGGAGGCAGAGTAGTCGAACAGACTCAAGAGGAGGTTTTTGCAGACTTGGGTGAAGGGGGCTGTGTTTTGGTTTTCTAGATATGAAAAACCCGATTTTTTTAGGGCGCAAATGAAAACCATTCTTTTTACCGGCGTAATTTCTGGCGTGCAAATGAAAACCATTCTATTTCTATTCTCTGGACGAGTTTCCGAGCAGAAAGTAGCGTTCGATAACGACACAAAACTTCTGTTCCCGAAATAGAAATTCGTTTGATAGGTTATTCTTAAATTTCTGTTCTTGACAGCCGGGTGGGCGGCCGGCCGGCCAGCGGGAGGCCGGCGGCAATGAACGGCGCACGGCGAGGGCGAGCGATAAGAAGAGTTGTTATTTTTATAAAAAAGTAAAAAAATTCTAGAAATAAAAAAGTAAAAAAAAATCTAATTTTTATTTTCATTCCAAATTTATTTTTGGGCTAAAGATTTGTCTCATAAATAAAAAAAATTAAAGTTGCGTTGCTAAATGAATTTTTATTCCAAACGTATTTTCGAGAATAGAAAAATAAAAAAACAAAGAAAATAGTTCTAACGGATGGTCCGGTTCGGGATGACAATTCCCTATGTAACACTAAACGACAAAACACAATTCTCAGAAGATTTTTTTTCGCCCTAGGGTTTTCTCTCTACCGTCTTCTTCATCGCGTGGATCTGAAGCACAGAACCAGAAGAAGAGAGGACGATCGCGAAAACATGGATCCGGTCTACGTGTTCGTGAAACAAGTCTACAAGATGTTTGACGAGAACCCGACGGACTTGGGGAACCTATACCTGGAAGGATCGATGATGACCTTCGAGGGCCAGAGGATCATGGGCAAGGATAGTATCCTCGCCAAACTCATCTCCCATCCCTTCACACGGTGCCAGCACAGGATCAACTCCGTCGACTTCCATACCTCCGACGCCGCCGTTGGCTGGCTCGTTCTCGTCAGTGGTGTGCTCGACTTCGACTGGCTAGACGGCGAGCGGCAGGCCCTCAATTTCACCTAGGTCTCTTGCTGTCTCTCTCCCTCTCCCTTCTCTCTGTCGTTTGATTTCGCGTGGATCTGATTCGATGCGCGCGATGTGGGTCAAAGAACTCCTGTTATTGTCGATGTTTGTGCAAGCATGGTTTGATCCGTTGTTTAGATGATGCTAGCTTTTTGTTTCCTCTCTCGTTCGTTGGTTTTACGGCTTGATCGGCGCTTGTCATTATGGATTTACCCATGATTGAATCCTCTTCTTCTTTTTTTCGTCTCTGATTAGCTGTTGTTAACGCTTTTCTCGCCTTTAATTTTGTGTAGAGTGCTCTGCAGTGTGTCTGGTTAAATAAGTGATTTCTCTTTGAATATTCGGAAGTATTATTGGCATGGATTTATTGCTTTACTGGTTTCTTTTTTTCGTTTCTTATCGTTGTCCCGTATCTGTTTGATTGTAGACGAGCCTCTGTGACCTTGCGTTCTGTACTTACTCAGATCTTGCATCCTGTGAACACTACCTTTTGTTTATTCTTCTGTTTATTCACAGGTACATTTATATATTATTAAATTGTTTTTGAGTGTGAAAGGATGGTTTGGATGATGCTTTTAGTTGATTGAGTATCACCTAGTGTGGTCCGTTCGTTCAGTTAAAAGATTACATATTTATAAGATTTATAGTGAATGAAATTGTTGCTTTGATGAACTTTCAGAAGAAGGTATCTCTGCTATTTCTTTACAGGCAATCTGGCTGTTCTAGTATGTTGCCACTCTTGTTAAAATACACATATTTTGGTCATTCCTTATGGAAAAGACTCCCCACGAAGTTTTCAAAGGCAGAAAACCCAATATATCATATTTCCATGTATTTGGTTGCAAGTGTTTCATTCTTAAAAATAAGGATGAAAACATCGGCAAATTCGATGCTCGTGCAAGTGAAGGTATTTTTCTGGGATACTCAACTACTAGTAAAGCTTATCGTGTGTCCAATAAAGATTCATAGGTAGTTGAAGAATCCATAAATGTGAAGTTCAAGGATAATCAGAAAGAGATACAAGCAAATGATTGTGATGAAAACATGCTCTTGCCTTCTCCCACCAATCGGCAACAACAATAGCATCAAAATGCTGATGTTCCTAAGCAGAACTCATTGCCCAAAGATTGGAGATACAAGACTGAGCATCCCAAAGAACAAACCATTGGAAGCATAAATGAAGGAATCAAGACTAGATCTTCACTCAAAAACTTGACGAATTCTTTGGCTCTCTTATCTCAACAAGAACCTAAAAAGATTGAAGAAGCTATTTCTGACGAAAGCTGGATAGAGGCTATGCAAGAAGAATTGCACCAATTCAAACTCAATGAAGTTTGGGAATTAGTACAAAGACCCTCATATCATCCCGTCATTGGAACAAGATGGGTATTCAGAAACAAACTTGATGACAAAGGTAATGTCACTCGCAACAAAGCAGGACTAGTAGCAAAAGGTTACTCACAGGAGGAAGGTATTGACTTTGATGAAACTTATGCTCATGTTGCTAGACTAGAAGCTATACGATTATTAACTGCTTATGCATGTTTCTATAATATTCATTTATATCAAATGGATGTCTAGAGTGCTTTTCTTAATGGCTACATAAAAGAAAAAGTTTTCGTTGAGCAACCTCCAGGATTTGAGGATCCAAACAGACCTCAGGATGTATACCGCTTGAAAAATGCCCTGTATGGACTCAAGCAAGCTCCAAGAGCCTGGTATGAAAGATTAAGTACATTTCTGGAAGAACATAATTTTGAGAAAGGTAATGTGGATACTACTCTATTCATCAAGAAGGAAGGTAAAGATCTTCTTATCATACATGTATATGTTGATGATATCATTTTCGGATCCACTAACGAAGTGTTATGCAAGGAGTTTGCAAACATCATGAAAAGCGAGTTTGAAATGAGCCTGATCGGATCACTCAATTACTTTCTCGATCTCCAAATAAAGTAAACAAAAGATGGTAGTTTCATCCGTCAAGAGAAGTACGCTATAGAAATCGTGAAGAAATTCGGTCTCAAAGGAAGCAAAAGATGGAAACACCTATGTTTGCTACTATCAAGCTGGACAAAGATGAAAAAGGTAAATCTGTTGACTCCAAGCTATATAGAAGTATGATTGGTTCTTTATTATATCTAACAGCTTCTAGACCAAATATATTGTTCAGAGCTTGTCTATGCGCACATTTTCAGTCTAATCCAAAAGAGTCTCATTTAACGGCTGTCAAACGTATCATTCGATACATCGGCTCATATCCAAAGATAGGTATCTGGTATCGCAAGAATTCAGATTTTACATTACTTTGATACTCAGATGCTGACTATGCAGGATGTAAAATAGATCAAAAAAGTACATTTGGTACGTGTCAATTATTAGGAAATATGCTAATCTCTTGGTTCTCAAAGAAGCAACATACAGTTGCTCTCTCTACAACGGAAGCTGAATATATTGCATTAGGAAGCTGCTATGTTCAACTCATGTGGATGAAACAGCAACTTCGGGATTTTGGAGAAACAAATGAAATTATTCCTATATTATGTGATAATACAAGTGCAATCAATCTTTCAAAGAATCCTCTACTACACTCTCGTGCCAAGCATATTGAGGTAAGACATCATTTCATCAGAGACTTGGTAAGTAATGGAGAAATCTCCATTCAGTTCATGGACTCGAAACATCAGCTGGCAGACATCTTCACTAAGCCCCTGGACAAACAAGCTTTCGAATTTATCAAAGGGGAACTTTGAATATGCAATCCATTCGAATAAATCAAAGATAAGGATCATCAACTCATCGGAATCACTCAGCAGAAGCAATGGACTCCAGGTACGTAGTCTAGAAAATTCAAAATGTTACCGTTACAGTGACTGCCCCTAGGATATTGTTACCATTCTAACATGCTGATCTTCTGCCGATTCAACCGTTTCTCTCTTATCTATTGTTACCCGATTTTTATTGAAAATCCATTAAATTGAATAAGAAAATTACCGTTATTGAGTAACGGTTAACTCTCTAAACGTGGCTGAACTGCCCCTATTTATAGGGAGATAGTGCTCACGTTCTTCATCTCGCTAACCGCCTGTAGAAACCGCTTCTCATCCTCTATAACTCCCTCAACCCTTTTCGTCTTCTTCATTCACTTAAACCATCACACAATGGCTCCCAAGGCTCGCAAAGCCACAGGCACAAGAAAATCTACTCGCACCAGTACAATGCAATCGAGACTCTCCAAGGAAGAATCGTCACACATTGATCTTACTGACCAACCGGCAGCCTCAACGGAAGTGACTCAAAGTCAAAGTTTTCCTATTTCTCAACTTGTTGGAGAACATGGAGAATATGCCACTGCAAGCACGGCTCTTCCCTCTTCCACTGAAGGAATCGTTCCAAGCACTAAAACTCCTGAATCCCAGATGCGCTATGGAAAAGGAAAGGAAATCCTGTCGGATCTCCCACTGTTGCAACTGGAAGTACATTCTTAGCCAACCATCTTGCCAAGTGCATCTCTTGAACAAATCATACATGCATTTATCAAAGAAAGAGGATATGTTCTTGTCCCTACCGCAAGCAAGGTTCCTGAAACTCAGCCCCTGACACCACCTGCTGGCGAAACCTCGCAACCATTGCCAACATTACCATCCACCAAATCTTCTACTCAGAAAGAAGAAGAAGCTGAACTGTCAAAGGAACAAGAAGCAAAAAAAGAGCCATCACCTCCTGCCCAACTTCCTGTTTCTACTGAGCCAAGCGAACCAAGAACTGAAATGGAAGAAACTTGAGGAGATAAGAAGCGAGAAGATGACGATGATCGAGTCTTTCAAAATTTTGAACCTACTGAAGGTTTCACTCTAGACTCCTCATTTGATTCTGAACTCTTTTTCAATCAAGAACACAAAAATGTTTTTGAATCTTTCGATGATCGTGGTACCATCCCGCATCGCTTTGTAAATTTTGATTATCTTGATGCACATGGCATTTTTCTCTCTGAGCAGTTTGAAGATCTTCGGCTAAAAAATTTTTCCACTATGAAAGATGAGGTACACCCCACTCTGGTGGCCCTGTTTTATTCAAATCTACACTTTCAAAACAGAGACACATTCATCTTCTCTTTTACCAAGAAAAACTACACTGTCACTCTTGATGAGTTAGCCGAAATCATTAACACCGAGTTCAAAGTTTTCAAAAAGATTCATGTAGAGCCAAACACTGCATACAGCTTCTGATGTGGACATTGTGCCATATCGAGGAGGAGGTGCTAGGGATCCATTGTCCTATCCTCTTGGTCCGATTACTCAAGCGAGGGCGAAGCAATTCAAGCAAGCTGTTGGCATCATGGTTCGAGATCTTTAGAGTGTGTTGACATCTGATTTTTAGCTCATTTTTCAAACATTCCCAAAAATCACAAAATTTGGATTAGGAACCTTGGCCAAGCCTAGGAACCTATTTCTAAACCAAAAATAATTTTTTTAGAATTTTCTTGAATTTTTTCTTAATTTCTTTTAGTCAAAATAAGGAAGAAAATCAAGAAAAATAGCAAATGGAATCCAAAAATTCCATAAAAATAGTCATTGGTCTTCTTTTAAATCCAATTTAATTAATACAATTTCAATTTCAGAAAATTTCAATTGGGAATGTGTTTTTCCCAAAATTGGGTAAAATCAAACCCAAATTGAACCAAAAATGCAATTAAATATTTTCTAGTCATTTTTAGGTCATAGTGTCTTAACAAAAAATGATCTAGAGACCTTTAATTACATAATGGTTGGTCCAATTGCACAATTTACTAAAGAAATTAAAAAGCCCCGAACCTAATTGAAAAATTAGGGATTTTAAGCCCAAATTGGGAATCCTAATCAATTCGAAATTTTCAAACCCTAAGACCATCATTTCTAGGATTAATCAGATGTGGGTAATCCAATTTTGGCACCAATTTTTCCTAATCAGGTCATTAAAATGTCAAATTAAACAAAAACCCTAATAACCCGAATGTTATA